TTTTAGAGATTAATATGTTTATAGGTTTTTTAAATAGGTTTAGAGATTAATATTTTTTGCTTTTAGTTTGTGAAACAAGGTCAGAGGAAGCTGGTTCTGGTTCGGTCGACTGGACCCAGTGTTACACCATATTCTGTGACCTGCAACAGTGCATGCAACACCACCCCCTACGGTCACAATATACGGTGGTCACAGAATATGGTGTAACACCGGTTCACACCGCGCTCCATACAGTCAGGAAGTTGATTCATTTTCTGTTTCCTTATGGTAGTTGAACCAGAAGATTCATCTTTAGTGAAATATTTCCAGACTAATGATGTATTTCTACCCGTTTGTCAAGACTGGGCCTGCTCTGCTCCATCGGTCTGCTGGGAGGAATCCATTTTGTATCCCGCACCCACTGCGGATTACGTGACACGTGACACAATGACGTAACGACGACGTAATGACGTCACCACGAATACTCAACATGAAATAAAAAAAACTCTATAGATGTCATAGGAATCGATGTGTAGATTACTCGAGTAGTCTGTTAAAGCCCTATTACGCAGATGATACACAGATATATGTCCCGCTAATGAAAAAGGACCAACTCTCTGGCTCCTTTGTTTTCATGTCTGGAGGACATCAAAGCCTGGATGGCTGTGAACTTCTTAAAGCTCAATGAGGGAAAAACTTAGGTGATGGTCTTTGGAAGCTCCACTGAGACTCCCAGTGTAATGTTGGTTCCTTGGTCCAGTAAATCAGGCCGGCTGTTACAAACCTGGGGGTCAAAGTCAATGCTGGGCTAAAGTTAAGATGGGGCAGAACTTTTCAGTGATTTAAAAACATACATGAGTATTTTGAACTGGATCTGAAGGTGAACCGGTAGCCAGTGCAGTGAGGCCAAAACTGGAGTAATGTGGTCTCTATGACCTGTACCAGTTAAAAATCGTGCTGCAGAATTTTGGACCAGTTGTAGTCGTGCAATGGAGGACTGACTGATTCCAAACAGAAGTGCATTGCAGTAATCGAGCCTGGATGTTACAAATGCATGTATTACTGTCTCCAAGTTATTTTTGGACAATATGGGCTTCAGCTTAGACAGCCGCCTCAGCTGAGAAAAAACAGGATTTAACAATCATGTTTACATGACTGTTGAGTTTCATGGAAGGGTCCATTATCACTCCCAGATTAGTGACTCTTTGTTTCTCTGACGGGGCTAGAGAGGAAAAGTCGATGCAGTGGTTTGTGATCGTGTCGTTGGGAGGGAACAACATGACTTCAGACTTCTTCTCATTGAAACAAGAAGTTTAAAGCCATCCAGTCCCTGATGTCAGCCAGGGAGTCAAAAAGATGTTGAATAGAGCATGTACCTCTGTGCCTCAGGGGGAAGTAAATTTGACAGTCATCAGCGTAGAAATTAAAGGGTATGTTGTGTTTACGGAAAAATGCACCTAGTGGCAGCAGGTATAAAGAAAAGAGAAGGGGACCAAGGATGGACCCCTGCGGTACCCCCCAATGAAGCGCTGCCGATGCTGAACTCAAATCTTTGATAATGACTGACACAAAAGGTTCTGTCAGAGTGGTAAGATCTAAACAATTTGAGGACTGACCCTGTGATGCCCACCCACTGATTCAGCCTAGAAATGAGGATCTCATGGTCGATGGTGTCAAAAGCTTGTCCAGCAGGACAAGCAGCACAGAATCACCAGCGTCTGTGGATATGAAGATGTTGTTAACAACCTTCAGTAGAGCAGTTTCAGGGCTGTGGAGAGATTTGAAGCCAAATTGTGATAACTCAAGGATAGTGTGATCCTCCAAGAAATATTTCAACTGGGACTCAACTATTTTTTCCAGTAGTTTAGAGGTGAATGGGAGACTGGAGACAGGCCAGAAGTTGGACATGACTGAGGGGTCAAGGTTGGAGATTTTTCAGGAGAGGCTGGACAGCAGCATGTTTAAAAGTTTTTGGCACCATCCCTGAGGATAAACTGCTATTCACAATAGAGAGAATAAAAGGACCCAGAGTAGGAAAAACCTCCTTTAGTAGTCGAAGGGGGACCACATCAAAGGGGGAACCAGAAGGTTTCATGCTGCACATGACCTGCTCCAGAGAGGACAGAGAGATTGGTTCAAAATGGTCAGATACAGCTGCATATTGAGATGGGATGGAAGGATCATGAGCTGGTGGAGAAATGAGTGCTGACACTTCTGGTGTTGGACCGGAAGTTATTGCCGAAAGGTTTCTACAGTAAAGGCACAAGGAATAAGGTGAAATATGTGAATTTTATTGGGTTTTGTGTTTTATTTTGAAAACCGGACATTCACTGCCCCATCGCGACCATTATTGTGAGCAGCTTCACCATCCTCCCTCACAGTGCTGTATCGCAAGGATGAGTGGACTCCGAGTGCTCAATGTTTGCTGCGGCAAAAGCAATTCTGCCGGCAGAGGGCCCTCTGTGCCAAGGGCCCCTGGGCACATGCCCAGATTGCCGATACGGTAAATCCGGTCTTGGAGGTCAAAGGTTGAGAGCTTCAGATCTTTTTGTAAGATGTTCCAGGAAACGGGAGCGGAGTAGGAGAAGGTCCTTTTGTCTAGTTCAGTCCTCACTGAGGGAACACTGCAGGTAATGATGTCCTGAGAGCGCACGCTGTAGCTGCACTCACGCAGAGACATGTAGGAGGAGATGTATGAAGGCAGCAGACCAGGAAGTGATTTAAAGATGAAGATGTACCAGTGAGAGTCTGTGTGAAGTTACTGGTGACCAGTTAACCAGTGAATACTGGGTGCAGTGGTGGGTACGATAGTTACAGCCAGTTATGAATCTTAGTGCACCATGATAGACAGCATCCAACATCTGCAGCATCCAACATCTGCAGCATCCAACATCTGCAGCATCCAACATCTGCAGGTTCTTGTAGGAGCGTTCATGTAAATAATGTCACCGCGATCAATGGAGGGAAGGAAAGTCACAGATACAAGGCGTTCCTCAGGGTTCAGAGTTAGACAGGATCTGTTTCTGAAAACAAACCCAGTTTAACTTTCAGTTTCTTTACAAAGATTTTGACATGAGGCTTTAAAGAGAGATGTGAATCAACCAGGATACCCAAATATTTGTCGATAAACTCAGTAGGGACAGCATTCCAAGATAAAATAGAAGAAATGCTGGGACTGACTTCCTGTTTGAAAATATTGGGATTAAAGGAACAGCTCTAAAATGGTGTAAATCATATCTATCTGGTAGATTACAATTTGTAAATGTAAATAATGAATCTTCTTTTTACACTGAAGTTAGCCATGGAGTTCCTCAGGGTTCAGTGCTTAAGCGAATACTCTTTACCTTGTATATGCTTCCATTAGGTAGTTATTAAACAGCATGGGGATGGGGTAAATGTTCATTGTTATGCTGATGATACACAGTTATATTTGCCCATGAAACCCAATGAATCCAGTCAGCTACTTGGACTACCAGCATGTCTTAAAGACCAAGGCTGGATGACCCTTAATTGTCTGTTTCTAAACTCAGACAAGGGTTCTCCTGGTTTTGTTGTCTTTCACATCTCTTATGTGTCCAGCGGTGGAAACTGTTCGACATCAAACTGTCCACCACGGGCTGCAGACAGTACAGTGCACTTTATAACCATTATCGTGCACTCTTTCCAGCCACGTGTTCATTTTCTCACTCGATTCTGTATTTTTTCAGTTGAAGAGGTCGGTTTACTGATGGAAGGTGAACGATGTGCGCCGTTTAAATCCTCTGAATTCCTGCCGCTCGCCTGCATGAGGTCTTGTTGAATCCGGTCTGGCGGTGGTTGTGATACGCAACAGGAGCTGGACCAATGAGATGAGCTGATCCTGCAGCTTCATGAGTAAGAAGACTGCTCATTGGTCACAGAGCAGGAGAGGGCGGGAGTTCATTTACCATAAAATTCCATAAAGAGCACCGCATCATTTACGAACTCTACTGACATGGACGTGTTTTTGATTATAGCTATAATACGGGACAAAGTGCGTCCCATTTCAGCTCAATACGGGACACGTACTTTTGTTTCTAAATACGAGATGATTCTGGTTTTTACGGGACGGTTGGCCACTCTACAGGTTCTAGTTTTTGGACCTGAGCATCTTGGGAATAAATATTATCTTTCATTTTCTCTGGATGGCATTAATTTGTCCTCCACTTCTTGAGTTCAAAAGCTTGGTGTTCTTTTTGATCAGGACACGTCTTCTGACCCAACAAACACCAAAACTTTCCCACAGTAAGGTTCAAGACATCACGACGACGAACCACTCGTGAAGTGCTTGAAGTTGAACAGACCTAGGTGGAAGTAAACTCAAGTACAAAAAACAAAAAAGTCCATGCTCCAAAATCCAGGTATCCATCCAACAATTTTCAGTCAGGTCATCTGGACAGTTTCTTTTTTTGCTGAAACGTTTCACCTTCCATCCAGATGGCTTCATCAAGACACCATCTTAGCACCAACATAACTGGTTTGTTCCACTTTGGAGTAAGCTGTTGGGGGAAGAATCAGTTTTGTGTTGTGTTTCTTTGTCTGATGAAGCCTTCTGGATGGAAGGAGAAACGTTTCAGCAAAAAAAAGAGTCAAATAGTGAAAGCTCAGAAAACAGGATTTCACGGAATCTCAATCCATTTTATTTTGAAGTTTAATGCTGAAAACATGAATATTTTAACCACTTTAAGAGATTTCATCACCAAAAGTAATCGAAGCAGGAACGAGCCGGACGTGGTGACATTAGCAGAAAAACCGCGACACGAGAACAGTCGTAGCTCAAGTCACGACAAGTGGGAATAATCAACGGAAACAGGCTCACAGCACTGAAACACACTTACATCCAGGCACGCGCTTCTTAGGCCTCCTGCTCTTCAGCCACACGCACACGCAGCCGCGCAAAACGGCTCGTTCACTTCCGGGTTCCTGGGTTTTCTTTGCACATGCGCAGTGCGCCTTGTACGGCAAACCACACCAAACAAAAAAACAAACCATGAAATAAAAATATTTGAAGACATTTAATACGATAAACTCGTAGACCAAACCGATATATCCTGTTAAGAACGTTTTTCCTAATAAACTCACGCCCGTTTAGCAAAGGTAAAAATGGTCGCCATGTTGGGGAGGGAAACAACGGTCAGGGAAAAGGTTCTGAACCATTACAACGTTTTTCCGTCAGATATAAAATTATAACGAGTGTTGATATTTTATTAATTGATAGTTGAGCACATTTTTTAGCAATTTTTGGGCTGAGCAATTAACCACAAAAAATTTTTTTTAAGCATATTTCAGTGTCAAAGCGTTTTTAAAATTCAACAGTGAACCATAAAAGACCTATTCTTAACCTTTATAATTTAATAATTGTGTCGCTCCCAGTCAAACAAAGTTGAGCCTTACTGGTGGGTTTAAAGGTTTACTTTATTTAGCCTTTTAAACATCTGCTACTCTTCAACCAACGTACGAGCTAAAGTGACAAACTCATGAAAAATATAAAATGTCTTTCTTTTCTTTTCAGTATTACTTAAATGTAGAGTTGTAGTACTCGAGACCAGTCTTATTTTTTGATGGTCTCGGTCTTGTCTCCGACTCAGACATTGAGGACTCGGGATTTTATTTCAAGACTAGTCAAGACCACAACTCTGGAAATATCACTAAATATATAATATATATAATATATATATATATATATATATATATATATATATATTATATATGTCCATCCATCCATTATCTTTACCCGTTTATTCCATTTTGGGTCACGGGGGTCGCTGGTGCCCATGTCCAGCAATCACTGTGCGAGGGGCGGGGGACACCCTGGACAGGTCTCCAGTCCATCACAGGGACACATAGAGACAAACGAGACAAACAACCATTCACTCTCTCACTCACACCTAGGGACAATTTAGAGTCACCAATCAGCCTAACATGCATGTTTTTGGTCTGTGGGAGGAAACCGGAGCACCCGGAGAAAACCCACGCATGCACGGAGAGAACATGCAAACTCCACCCAGAAAGGCCCCTGGACCGGGGTTTGAACCAAGGACCTGCTCGCTGAGAGGCAGCAGCTCTACCAGTTGCGCCACCGTGCTGCCTTATATTATATATGTAATTAGTGATATTATAATATCACTAAACTGCCAGAATATTGTCCAGTTTATTTGTTAACATCCTTGTTTTTATTGGATGCAAAACGTAGTGGTTCATGTTCGAGTGATAACATGACTAAATACATTGTAGTTGTTATCGCTGTCAAGGTTTTTTTTTCATTTACTCTTTATTTATCAGGTAGTCTCATTGAGCCGCGAGAACCCTTTTTCAAGAGAGACCTGTTTAGGAGCAGGTGGTGGGGGTTGAGGGCCTTGCAGGGGCCCAGAGTGGGGCCAATGAGGGTGGAGGCAGGTGTGGGTGCTTCACCTTTTCCACCCACATTTTGATGTTGACGGTTCCGGGAGTTGAACCTGCGACTTTCTTTCAGATCACAAGCCCATCTTCTAACCTCTGCGCCACCACTCCCCTGTACACTCCAAGTACACCCTCTTTCACTCCCAGTGTTGCCAGATTGGGCAGTTTACTGCTAACCGAATGGTTTCCATTCTGATTTTGCTGGGAACTCTGGGAAGATTTTTGTTGGATTGTTGCGTTTTGCCACATATTGTTAAATTACCTTGGCTTGTACTGATGTGTGTTCATGTTCAAACAATAAATATACTGTAACAATATATTGATTGGGCAGATTTTTGTCTGACATGGCAGTTTTTAACATATTTTTGGGCTGGAAAACCTCCACTCTATCTGGCAACACTGGTCACTCCAAGAAAATGAGAAGCAATTCCAAGTAGGTATCTACGGGTATCTCTGCAGCAGATACAGTTAGCCAATCAGTCTTTGTCCTCTACAAATGCCTATTCTCCAGAAATGCCCACTTTTGGTCTCAGAGAACCCCTTCTCAGTGTCTGGGCGCGGGAGAAGATGTCTGTCATACTGTATGTCCTGATGCTCAATAATCCAGGTAGAAAAATCTAAAAAAGTTCAATCTGGTCCTCTGGACATTCAAAAAACAAAACAAAGCAAAACAACAAAAAAATCTAGAAACGTTTCGTCTCTCATCCTGAGGACTTCCTCAGTCTGAGGTGCTGTATTCAGCTCAGTCTCTTAAATAGCACCTTCTCAGAGTGGATCAACCAGTTTTGCTGCTGACAACCAGAACCAGCTGATCACATGCTCAAGAAGGACCATCAGCCTAACAATGGATCATTAGCACCTGATGGCTGTTTACTGTTCACAGAGGGCTGAGTGATACTAGCAATCACAGCATTGTAAGAGGGGGACAGTTGAACCTGGAGGCTCCACCCCTGTTTAATGATGGACGATTTCTTTTCACAAAGATGGCCTCCTTTACTCCTCTCTCAAACCATCGTTCCTCTCTGTCCAGGATGTGAACATCTTCATCCCTGAAAGAGTGACCGCTGGCCTGGAGATGAGTGTAGACCTCAGAGTCCTGGTCTGATGATGTTGATCTTCTGTGCTGGTCCATCCTTTTGGCCAGTGGCTGTTTAGTTTCCCCGATGTAAGACTGATCACCCTCCTGACACTGAACAACATACACAACATTACTCTGTTTGTGCCGGGGGACTGGATCTTTGGGATGAACCAGTCTTTGATGTATTTTGGGGTTTAAAAGCCACTGGGACGTTATGTTTAGAAAATAAACGTCTCAGTTTCTCTGATACCCCCTCAACATCTGGAATGACCACTGGTCTGGGTCTGGGTTCCTCCTTTTCACCTGTTGGCTGACTGGAGTCCTGTTTGGGTTTCTTCTTTCAGGAAGGCCCAGTTAGGATATCCACATTGCTCTAGAGCCTGTCTTGTGTGGGATTTCTCCTTCTGCCTGGCTCCTGAGCTAGTGGGGACGCTGTCTGCTCTGTGGTACAGAGTCCTGATGACTCCTAACTTGTGCTCCAAAGGGTGATGGGAGTCAAACTGCAGATACTGGTCTGTGTGGGTGGGTTTGTGGTACACCTCAGTTTGCAAATGTCCTCTATCAGAGACTGAGACCTCACAGTCCAAGAAAGCCAACCTGCCATTTTTTACATCTTCTCGTGTGAACTTGATGTATTTATCCACAGAGTTGATGTGGTCAGTAAAATGTTGGACTTCCTGAGATTTGATTTTAACCCAGGTGTCGTCAACATACCTGAACCAATGACTTGGTGGTGTCACTGAAAAGGACGTCAAGGCTCTCTTTTCTACCTCCTCCATGTACAGGTTGGCAACAATAGGAGAAACTGGAGACCCCATAGCACACCCATGTTTCTGCCTATAATATTGCTCCCCATATATGAAGTAGGTTGACTGCAGGCACAGTTTCAAGAGTTGACACAGTTGTTCTGTGGAAAGCGTGGTCCTGCTGCTCAGAGTGGTGTCTGATTTTAATCTTAAACTGACCACCTCTACTGCATCATCAACAGGAATGCACGTAAAGAGTGATGTGACATCAAAAGAGACCAATGTTTCATCAGTCTCCATGATGACATCCCTCACCTTGTCCACAAAGTCCATGGTGTTCTGTATGTGGTGTTCTGAGCTGCCAACTAAAGGGATGAGTACAGACGCCAGATATTTGGAAACATGATTCCAAATTTCTGGTGACCAGATTTCTACCTCGAGGCCCAGTCAGGCTCAGCCTGAATGAGCAACATGAGTTTGCCTTCCTGTGGGCCCACCACCTGCAGGAGGGCCCATACGAGTCAGGTGCATGACTTCGTGGTCAGTGGCTGACGGCGGGGGGCCTTGGCGCTCTGACCCTGGCTTACCAAAGCTGGCTCTTGGGACATGGAATGTGACCTCTCTGGGGGAAGGAGCTTGAACTTGGGTGTGAGGTTGAGAGGTACCGACTAGATATAGTTGGGCTCACCTCAACTCACAGCATGGGCTCTGGAACCCATCTCCTTGAGAGGGACTGGACCTTGTTCCACTCTGGAGTTGCCCTTGGTGAGAGGTGCTGAGCTGGTGTGGGTCTAGTCTTAGCCCCCCGACTTTGTGCCTTTGGGTGGGGGGATGGCTCTGACTGTTGTTTGTGCCAAGACAACGGCAGTTCAGAGTATCCAGCACTCTTGGAGTCTTTGGAAGTGTGCCTTATCCTAGAAGGTGCGCCAGCTGAGGACTCCTTTATTATGCTGGGGGACTTCAATGCCCACGTGGGTAATGACAGTGTGACCTGGAGGGGCGTGACTGGGAGGAACAGCCTCTGATCTGAACTCCAACGGTGTTTTGTTGTTGGAATTCTGTGTAGTCATAGTTTGTCTATCACAAACTCTATGTTTGAACATAATGGTGTCCATAAGTGCACATGGCACCAGGACGTCCCAGTTCGTAGATCAATGATTGACTTTCTAGTCGTGTCATCTGATTTGCGGCTGTTTGTTTTGGACACTCAGGTGAAGAGAGGAGATGAGCTGTCAACTGATCACCACCTGGCGGTGAGGTGGATCAGATAGTGGGGAAGATGCCGGATAGACCCGGCAGACCCAAACATGTAGTGAGGGTTTGCTGGGAACACCTGGCAGAAGAACCCGTCAGAAAGATCCAACAATGTTCTGTCAGGTCATCTGGACAGTTTCTTCTTTTTTTTTTTTTTTTTTTTGCTGAGCTGTTTCGTCCTTTATTCAGAGGACTTCTGAGGAGACACCAAATAAACTGATTCCCACAAACAGCTCACTCTCGTAGTGGAAAAAAAACAGTTTGCTGGTGCTAAGATGGCCTCCGGGGCCTACCCTCTCCCTCGTCAACTCCTCTAAGACAGTCATGCCAAAGTGGTTCAAAACTCCAAAGTTCATGCTCAATAATCCAGGTATAAATCCAGCAATGTTCAGTCTGGTCATCTGGACAGTTGGGTTTTTACCTGTTGCAGAAATCCTCGTTGTTTCGGTGCAATGAAGATTGAAGTAAAACACTTAAAGAGTGTCGTTAGAGAAGCATTTTATACCCCAGTTACAAGTTAAATGTGGAACATCACATTTCTAAAGTTGTTACATGTTCTAAACAAACAGTTTAGCTTGTTTTTACACATGAAACTCACTTTGCAGCATTTCTGTCTCTCTACGTAATACAATACCCATAATCCTCAGCTGCTGCTGTCTCCCAGCAGGAGAACCGACTGGAAACATTCTAGCTAAATCTGAAATTAATAAATGAAAAACATATCCAGCTAAACTTAGAACCTGGTTGTTTCTGAAATGCATTCTGGGAGTTGCAATTGATCTATCTGTCTGTGCTCAGGTGACTGCTGAGTGAACAGGTGAGCTCCTGTCAGACTGCACCTGCAGCAGGACATTTAGGTTCTTGTTCCAACAGGAAATCCCCTAGAACAAAGCAGGTCATGTTACAATCTCAGTCCTGACTCAGGTGGTTCTGCAGCTGCCTACAGCAGTTACCTGCAGCAAGTTGGTGACATCATCAGTGAGAAACAGAGGGAAACCTGAGCAGCAATCTGGTTTCACTGTGTAGACTCAGACTTATCAAGGAGACCCCTAACAAGCTGATCCATCTTCATCAGTGATGGTGATGACGTTGGTGGGAGGAGCTTGTTGGCTCTGGGTTCTGGTCTTCTTCCCCCTGGCTCAGCATCATTGAGGCTCTCTGCTCATCCATCCTCCTGGACTGGACTCTCTGGATCAGACTGAAAAAATCCTCCTGTCCTTCAGGAACCCGACCCATGACCTCATCCAGGTGTGGAAGGGAGCACCTCTGGTCTTCCATCCTGTCGGACTGCAGACACACAGAGGGACAGGTAAACCAGTTGAACTGGTAAAATCGTCATCCATGTTCAACGTCTCTGGCCATACCCAAGTGTGTTTTTAAGTCTGATGTAGACCTACTTCCTGTCTGGGCCTGAATCCACCTGTCACCTGTGCCAGGTACTTGGTAGAGGTAAGCAGTGGTTGCCCTCCCGTCCTACCAAGGAAGTCTGCGGACCATTCAGAGGGGCCCAGCTGAATAAACATTCTGTCATCATTTCAGGACTCTTTGGATTCGTCCTTGGTTGCTTTGACACCCCCGAGTGTGCACGGATCTCTCCAGAGAGAACTATGTGAACGGAGTGATTTTATCTGAACTCTGCAGTGCCTCTGTGTGTTGTCTCTGGACATGCTCACTGCCCTTGCGTCTCCCCCACCCCCACCCCACTGCTGCCGATTGTCGGAGTCATTATGTGCCTGTGTGCAAGCTTTTTCCCCCCATTATCGTACTGTTAACCTTCAGCCAAAGACTAAGAGCATGTTAGAATTTTTTTGTCTCCAAGCCCAAACTCTAAATGTGTCATTTTTCATCACTTTTTATTATCTGTCCAAAAAGGTCTCACTTGTAAATGAGTCTTTGAGGCTCAATGAGACTGACCTGTATAAATAAAGGTTGAATGTACTAGGGTGCATTCACAGTACCTACCAGGTGTGTACCTGGTAAGTATCAGGCTGTATTATATATTGCTACCTTTATGTTTTATCAATAGTCAGGTGAGTGCTACAGGTACCTGGTAGTGTATCAGCATGTAGTAAAAGTCCAGACTTGGGACAGAGTTCTGATCAGGACTGCAGGCCCCGCAGAGGGCTGGTGGTTCTGAATCAGGCAGCAGGCTGAGGCTGGCTCTCTGGTCGTCTAGCCTCTGACTTTGAGATTCCAAAATCAGGTCCAGCAGGGCCTCCGGCTCTTCCTGGTGGCTGCTTTTAATCTACAGCAATAACAAATGGGTCAGCAAACCATTAAATACACATAAATATATTATATTTTACAAAATGCATTGCAGAAACTCTCAGTACACCAAACTTTTCACATCATTTATTTAAAAAAAAGAGGCAGAGCCAATCAGAGTTGACTTCTTGTTGTCCTCACAGGTTCTGAACCCGACTGAGAACACCAACTGGACTTACAGTAGATTTGCATTCGGGCCCAAAAAAATCTGATCCAGCCCGACCCGGCCCCAGCCCGCAGTCATAATTTCCGAACTCCACCCGACCTGATGAATTAACAGGTCCGAACAAAAAAATGTGACATTTTTAATTAGTTATTAACGGTTGGGGACGCACGCTGAATAAAAGATGCAGAAGATTCTGAGCTGAGAGGTGTTTGTACTCTCATGGCCATAAAAAACATTTAAACTCCGTTTCTGCCTGTGTTCTTCTGAATTACTGATGCACGTCTGCTTTGGGATCTCACCTGTTCGGGTCATCGGCCGCGCACGTCCGCTGAGTGCAGCGGCTGAATGAACATCCATTTGGACGATGGATCGCTGCCTGGCAGTACAGTCCCATTTGAAGCTTAACTGAACTTTTTAACTCTTTAAAAGCCGGTCAGCTCACGTTGAAATGGCCGCGTGGGGCTGGTGAAAGTATGGCAGGCCATGTTATCATATAATTGGATCGTGGCTGATCCTGACCTAATTAAAAGTCTGAGACCGGCACGGCCCGCCCATTAATCACATTATAACGGCCTGGCCCGGCCCTAATCAGGTCAGTCCGGGCCGGGTTTTGGGTTCGGGTTAAAAATGACAGCTCTAGCTTACAGCAGCAGACACTTACCTTGTCCTTAGATGTGATGGTTCTGGCTCTGGAGCTGAGTGCAGAGCTAAGACTCTGACCCTGGGGTCTGCAGGAACTGGAACCTTGATCAGGACCAGCAGAACTTGTTGCAGGAGTCCTGAGGGCTCTAAGAGTCCTGAGGGTTCTAAGGGGTGAGGTGGAGGCTGGAGTCCTGCTTTTACTGGGACTCTGGTGTTCTAGTCCCAGTTCCAAAGAGCCGTTTTGGTGAGAAGTTGGAGAGCATTTTGGTACCACACCAATCCTCCCGTTGTGGTTAGGTGGAGACCCAGAGGATGAAGAAGGGAGGTTCTTTTCAGCCATGTTGGTGCTGTAGAGGCGATGACCGCGCTGAGGGTGAAGCTCTCATTGGTGGGAGGAGTTACACCTGTGCAGGAGGACAAGAGGACGTGAGACACAAACAGTTACAGATTATTCTGGTGTCTTTGTTCACCGAGGATGTAATGAAGTAAGGAAATACCCGGATCATGGTTCTGTGGTTTCAGTGTCGCCTGTCTCTGTCACCATGGTAACAGATGGCGTCTCTGTCACCATAGTAACAGATGGTGTCTGTCACCATGGTAACAGATGTCATCTCTGTCACCATGGTAACAGATGTCATCTCTGTCACCATGGTAACAGATGGTGTCTCTGTCATCGTGATAACAGGTGGTGTCTCTGTAACCATGTAACCGATGGCATCTCTGAAACCAAGGTAACAGATGGTGTCTGTCACCATGGTAACAGATGGTGTCTCTGTTACCATAGTAACAGGTGGCATCTCTGTAGCCATGTTAACAGATGGTGTCTCTGTCAATGTGGTAACAGGTGGTGTCTCTGTAGCCATGTTAACAGATGGTGTCTCTGTCAATGTGGTAACAGGTGGTGTCTTTGTAATCATGGTAACAGATGGCATCTCTTTCTCTTGTCAAGGGCAGACACCTTTCTCCTCCTCTCCCACTCCACATTGCTTTGCTCCGTCCTGTTTGTGAAACTGCTTTAGAGCCTCTCTTCTACAGATCTTCCAAATCATAATTTATGGATTTGGATTTGGTCAGTTGGTCCCTCAGCGCAACTGATAACATTTCTTGGAAGAGAAGACAGGCTTTAGGTGAGCCGATTTGCCCTGTTGGCACGCACGCAACTGGATATCTCATCGACTTGGAAGACTTGATGACTTGTCTACCTCTGCTGTCACCTGTGGATTTTAAGGACAAATATATAATTATATTTATGATAACTGGTTCTTGCATTTTGGATTTGGCTGGCTCCTGGTTTATCTACAATCAAGGAAGTCGTTGGCAGCAAATTTGGACCCAATCATGATTTGGACCCGATCACGCTGCTTGCTTTATGATGGCTTGGTTCGTGCCTCGAGCACCCAGACTCAAATGCTTTTGGCAGGATGGATCAGATCTCAGGGATTATTTTCAGGCACGGTCCATTGGTGTGGCCATTTAATTTGGACGTTTCGGTACCTCCCTGAGCTGCCACCTTACCGTGGTGGAGGGGTTTGAGTGTCCCAATGATCCTAGGAGCTATGCTGTCAGGGGCTTTACGCCCGTAGTAGGGTCACCCAAGGCAGACAGGTCCTAGGTGAGGGACCAGACAAAGTGCAGCCCAAAGACCCCTATGATGAGAAAAAGAAATGGACTTGATGTTCCCTCGCCCAAACATGGGTCACCGGGGCCCCACTCTGGAGCCAGGCCTGGAGGTGGGGCATGTGGGCGAGCCCCTGGTGGCCGGGCTTTTACCCATGGAGCTCGGCTGGGCACAACCTAGCCTTGACCCCTCAGTCATGTCCAACTCCTGGCCTGTATCCAGACTCCCATTTGTCGCTAAACTGCTGGAAAAAATAGTGGAGTCCCAGCTGAAATGCTTTCTAGAGGATAATGCCATCTTAGAGCTATTCCAGTCTGGCTTTAAACCTCTCCACAGCACTGAAACTGCTCTTCTCAAGGTTTTTAACGACATTCTCCTATTCACAGACGCTGGTGATTCTGTGCTCCTTCTCTTACTGGACCTCACATCTGCCTTTGATACAATTGACCACGAGATCCTCGTTGCGAGGTTAGAGCAGTGGGTGGGCATCACTGGGTCAGCCCTCGAATGGTTTAGATCTTACCTCGCTGACAGGTCCTTTTGTGTCTCCATCAAAGATTTTAGTTCAGCCTCGGCAGCGCTTAAATGGGGGGTACCGCAAGGGTCCATCCTTGGTTCTCTTTTATTTTCTTTATACCTGCTGCCACTAGGTGCTATTTTCAGGAAATATAACATACCTTTTCATTTCTACGCCGACGACTGCCAAATCTACTTCCCCCTCAGACTCAACGGTACTCGCTCTATTCAACCGTTACTGGACTGCCTGGCTGACATCAGAGATTGGATGGCTTTAAATTTCTTGAGTTTCAACGAGAAGAAATCTGAAGTTATGCTCTTTCCTCCCAATGACACAATCACCAACCACTGCATCGACCTATCTCTTCTGTCACCGTTAGTGAAACAAAGAGTCACTAATCTAGGAGTGATACCTGACCCTTCTCTGAAACTCAACAATCATGTAAATATGATTGTTAAATCCTGCTTTTTCAAGCTGAGGCGACTGTCTAAGCTGAAGCCCATATTGTCCAAAAATAACCTGGAGACAGTAATTCATGCATTCATTACATCCAGGCTCGACTATTGCAACTCACTCCTTTTTGGTATCAGTCACACCTCCATAGCTAGACTCCAACTGGTCCAAAATGCAGCAGCCCGGTTTTTGACCAGCACAAGCAAAAGAGAGTACATTACACCTGTTTTGGCCTCCCTACACTGGCTTCCGGTTCACCTTCAAATCAAATTCAAAATACTCTTGTATGTCTATAAATCACTAAACAGCTCTGCCCCCTCCTATCTTACTGATCTGCTCCAGCCGTATGTCCCACCACGTTCTCTCAGATCAGCAGACCATCTGCTCTTAACAGTCCCAGGAACCCGTCTCAAGCGCAGAGGTGACAGGGCCTTCTCTGTAGCAGGCCCAAGACTTTGGAATGAGTTACCTCTGCTCGTTAGACAGGCCCCCTCCCTCACAGTTTTTAAATCTCGCTTAAAAACACACTTTTATTCCCTTGCTTTCTGCACTGTGTGATCTGTGCTGAGTCTGTGTGCATCACACTGTGTTAGTCATGTTGCGGTTGTTGTTGTTATCCATTATTGTTTTTGTTGGTTTCCACATTTTGGCGTCCTGTTATGTAATCTGTTGCTATGTGCTTGTTCTGTTTGTCCCTGTACAGCACTTTGGTGTGCTTTGTCACTGTTTAAAGTGCTTTATAAATAAATTGGTATGGTATGGTATTGGTATGGTACAACCCAAAGAAGAGACGTGGGTCCCTTTTCCCATGTGCTCAACACCTGTGGGAGGGGCCAAAGGGGTCGGGTGCAATGTGGGATGGGTGGTGGCTGAGGGCAGGGACCCTGGTGGTCTGATCCTCGGCTACAGAAGCTGGCTATTGGGACGTGGAATGTCACCTCACTGGTGGGGAAGGAGCATGAGCTGGTGTGTGAGGCTGAGAGGTTCCGGCTAGAAATAGTCGGACTCACCTCTACACATGGCTTTGGCTCTGGAACCAGTTTCTTTGAGAGTGGTTGGACACTCATCCACTCTGGAGTTGCCCCTGGTGAGAGGTGCCATGCAGAAGTGGGCATACTTATTGCCCCCCATCTTGGTGCCTGTGTGTTGAGGTTCACCCCAGTAAATGAGAGGGTGGCCTCCCTCTGCCTATGTGTGGGGGGGATGGGTTCTGACTGTCGTTTGTGCTTATGCACCAAATGGCAGTTCAGATTATCCACCCTTTTTTGGAGTCCTTGGAGGAGGTACTGGAAAGTGCACCTCTTGAGGACTCCCTTGTTCTGCTGGGGGACTTCAATGCTCACGTGGGTAATGACAGTGAGACCTGGAGGGGTGTGGTTGGGAGGAACGGCCCCCCGATCTGAACCCGAGTGGTGTTATGTTGTTGGACTCCTGTGCTCATCATGGATTGTCAATAACGAACACCATGTTCAAGCATAAGGGTGTCCATATGTGCTCTTGGCACCAGGACACTCTAGGCCGCA